TATAGAAAGATAGTCTTCCAATTAACTGTGAACCAGGATGGCTAAATGGTACCTCCATCCTGAGTTGCAACAACCTTAAGAAGCTTTGGCCTCCGCGTTCCTGCTTAAGGTGCTTCCAGGACATCTGGCCTGGCCACTGGGGGGGGAAATGGGATGCCCCAAAAGTCTGCATCCAGTTGAACTAGGTGGACTACTGCTCTGATGCAGCAGCAGTCCTTGTGGGTTTTATTCCACTGACTTAATATCCTTCTCCACACCAGTAAATAACATTTCCTTGAAAATACTGATGTAGTTCAAATTCATTCTCTACTCAGAATAAATGTATGAAAGCTTCTGAAGTTTTACTTAAAGTTTCATGGGCTTCACGGTTTTTCAAGAACTGAAAGAAGATTCTCAACATTTTAACATGTTGCCATATTTCTTGAGTACGTGGGCATTTATGAACCCTCATTAATTTATTCCACGTGATGCAGAAGTTGGAGATAATTGAAGCAAGTGGTGTCACAGACTCTATTGTTCCAGAGACAACAGCATAGCTGGCAGACTTCTAGATTGCTCTATGGACCACACTGCTGAGAAACATTCAATATTCTGCCACACTTGAAATTACTTTTACTACATCGTAAGCAACATCGCCACACCCAGTACAATGCTATTCACACGAATATTGCTATAGCTGCATCTTGCAGCAGAATGATTTGGCTGTAGCAACATTTCTTTAAAACACTGCTTTATAAAGTATTTTACTCATAATTCTAAAAGAGAAGAAAAAAATCTTTCCATTTTCCCAATGTTTCTGATTTTTCCATGTTAGGCCTCTAGGGGGGGAAATGTTCTTTATCTCTCCCTCAGTTTGCATAGTGGTTAGAGCATTGGACAGGGATCCAGGAGACCTAGGTTAGAATCCCCACTCGGCTACAGAAGCTTGCAGAATGACCCCTCTCAGCTTGCTCTACCTAACAGGGTCGTTGTTGTGAGAATAAAATGGAAGAGGAAAGAGTCACAAAGTTCTTACACTGCATTGATGCGACAGTGTGGCAAAGACTGGCTATCTGTACTGGTGATTCTGTACTGGAGCCATTCTCCACAGAGGAAAGAGTCACAAAGTCTCTTCCACTGCATTGATGGGACAGTGTGGCAAAGACTGGCTATCTGTATCTAAGGGTGATTCTGTACTGGAGCCATTCTCCACAATGAAGTTACCACTGTTCCAGCATTAGCAGCACACAGAATCTACATACCAGTGGCTATTGCACATTTCAAAGCATTTACCTTCTGGATTTTTCCACCCAAATAGGGAGTGTTCCATTGTGATCATCATGAATCTGCTTCTCTCTGTGTTTAATACTGACACTGGCAGAAGTATACCTCCATATTTTTTCCTCCTTCTGACATAACTAGCACTATTACATCATCAGTGCAATCCTACACCCTTCGTAGTACACGTCAATGGGTTTAGAAGAGAGTAACTCTGTTTAGGATAGCACTGCACGACACCAGGAATACTTGCCTAACAACAGAATTAGGAATGACACTCGTTCACAACAGTGTAATGATAGAACAATGTTAATTTTGGAAATTAAAAGGTAACACCTGCCAGCAGTTCAGAGGTAGACACCCAGAACTATGCTTTGTAACCCAAGTCAACACACATAATCCTTAGGATACATAGAAATTGAACAAACAACAACATCCACACACCACAGAGACTATGCTTCTGTTCTTCACAAAAGTAAATTAAACAATCATAACAGATCAGTTCCTGGGGAAAAACCATAACAAGGAAAGAATGGGAAAACAGTGGAAGAATGATGATGTCATCTGGAACTATAACTACATGCAAAAATAGTGCTATATTTGACTACTATGGAATCACCCTGAGATATATATTACAGCCATTATAACCACATGCAAAAATAGTGCTATATTTGACTAGTATGGAATCACCCTGAGATATATATTACAGACAGGCTAAAGGAGGCGTTTGTGCATCCTGCTGCAAGCATGCACCTTTTCCAGTGTCAGCACCCCCCTCCCCATTTAGGCGTGACTCATAAATGAAGAGCAATGACCTAAATAGTATGACCTCACATACATGCTAGCATTACTCAACCTACCGTATTTCCCCCCATCCACTGTATTATACAGCCATCTGAAACACACCTTCCATTTTTTCCCCATTTAAGCAATGTACTTAATCTAAAATATTTTTTGCAGTTGCATCATCGTTATGCTTGTCAAAATGAAACTGACAGTGTAAATAAAGTTGCAGTCAAGCAGAGACTAGCAAAGATTTAGAATGACGACACAACTGTTTTGATTCGCCCATGTGATACTCTTGGCACTGACAACTGCACTTATTAAATCACACCGACTGCCATGCAGTGTGTACCTGGATCTCTTGTTTAAAAATTAGATGCCGTTAACACAGAGACATACTGACAAAGAGACACCTTCACAAGTCAAATGTCCTTGCACCCGCCTCCTCTGCAACCAGAAATCTACATCTGCCATCTGCAAATGACAACAGGTTGCTGCAGTTCCATTGCCAATAAATGATTTTAAGCCTGAGTAGGCTAACATCCACCTAGCCACCATCTCCAAGCTCCAGAAGCACCACACATTTCAAAAAGGCAAGGGTGACTCCTGAGAGGTAACAAAGAAATCAACAGGATAAAGTAGTTGTTATGCTGCATAAAACAACTGGTAAAACAAGACTGAAATCAAGAATGGTGTGTACTTTAAGGAAACTGCTGCTGAATCCCTCAGGTTCGCACAATGCACAACGGTTGACAGCAACTCTACAGAGAGGCAGCTGAGAGGCTACAGTAGAAAAGGGGGGAGAGAACATCTAGCTACTACTGTCTAATCAGTATTAGCTGATGGAAAGTAAGTGTCTGTTTCTCCTCTCCATCATCAGCAGTATTCAAGGGCTGGATGTGTTTTGTAGCCCACTGTATGGCCTGCTGTGTTCTATGGGACTTATTCTCCTGTAAATGTTGTCAGGGCATCAGTCCTACAGCCCCAATCCAGGCATGTTTAGATAGCAGTGCAGCCCAAGTAAGAGAGGATGGGCCATAAGGTTGTGTTGAGCTGCAGCCACAGCAGCAATGAGACAACAAGCTCTAGTCTTCCTGGCTGGCTGCCTACACTAAGCCTCCAAGGAAACTATGGTTTTTGTTCTACCATCTATCACATCAAAAGCTACTCTAAATAGCAAATGTTACAGAATTTTAACAATTCTTACACTATATTACATGAGCCTTGAGACCCACTATAGTTAAACACCAGTGGATACTGTATTCCGAATAGAGCCTGGCTTCTTCAAATCTGTTTATGCTACTAGATTGTAGTATTCCCATGGGATTAAGAATATAAACTGCTCTGGTCCCCAGTAAAAAATCAAAAAGATGTCCAAGAAAATACAAAATGCATCAGTGGTGGTCCTGATTTAAAAGGTGCTCATATTCTGACCACTACAGGATATGAATTGTGCTTATTTTTAATTATAGCTACTTTCTTGACATATCTTCTATATCGTTACAGAATGCCTTAAGAACGCATTTGTTTCCTGTGGTTACCCATGGAGACATATACCCTTCAGCTGCATTCATAGTAATCTAATAAACTGTTCAAATACCTCTTTTTTAATATAATGACTGTGCATGATATTGCCCAGAACAGCTAACCTTTAGGCTTTCAAGGCATAAGTCCTTGCAAATGAACCCAGGAGAGGATTATTATAAATAACTTTTATATTGTCTATGATCTAAATAATGTTTTCACCTATACTGATGACTCAAAGTAGAACAAACATAACTGAAGATGGCTTTATTACTCAGAGCTTACTCAAGATGGCTATGGCAGTTACTCTTGTGAAACTAAAGATGTCTCCTTGAATAACTGAGCTGTAATACTAATTACACCACAAGTGTTCCTATGCAACCTTGACTCCATTTATTAGAAACCCCCTACATAAATTCCATTCTCTTTCTCCTACCAAACTGAATACAAGGCACTCAATTATACATATGCAAGTATCAACAGGACATCTTATCTCAGATTTTGATAGGATACAATTAAATGCCACCTTGAGTGGGAAAAACAGCAAAAGCAATCTTGCAAAACAAGATTCTCCCCTGAGCCCACATTCAAATATGTATTGTAATCTGGAAAAACTAATATTCCAATAGTTGCTAAAATGTTTATCTTTCTGACTGATATTTCATTCTCTGGATTGATTTACAGGGTCCCCCCCCTTAATTATTATGTTTATTGCAACACTTGATAGGTTGTGAGAACATTTTGTGGAAATAGATTCATGTTGAAATGTGGCTGTTAATTACATAGCAAAAGCCATCTGTGTTTGGCAAGGCGTTTGATACTTAACAGCATAAAACCTGGATTCAACTTTTAAAACCTTTTAAGTTTTTAAAGTCTACAGAACTGGGGGGGGGGGATCTGTCCTGTCCTTCTACTCCAATGGTTAAGATACAGCACAGTATTTTAATCTTTTTACCCTCTGACCAAAGAGTTAACCAAATCCAAATTTGCATCAGTGCACAGAGCTTGTCAGAAAACCCACAACAAGCAGGGGAGGCTACATGAGAACCGGAATTCAGATCCCATCCTTCTCCCTTTGTTATGCAGAACTACGCTGCATTAATCTCACACCCGGGAAATACATCTGGGTTTCTACTAAAGTTTCATCTCTTCCAGACATGAGAGATGATCTTCTTTTAACCCTTCCCCGGCACCTTCTCCGTCTAAGAAAAGCCTTCTAATCAAGGGCAGGAAGTAAATTAAAAAAGAAACAACCACCACTATTTGGATTTTTAAAAAATGTCTGTCCATCATTTCTCTTTCACTTCTGTTCCCATGTTTTTTCCTTCTTTTAATACTTATATAATGATTGCTCGGCTCGCCACGCCTTGAAACATTCCCTTTTCTCCTTTCCTTTTAACAATAACAAACTGAAGTTGAAAATAGAAAGCAATTACCTTCCGACCAGCCCAGCCGGAGCCCCACATAATCCACTAGGGCAGTGCTGTAACCTCTTGAGCTGCTTCTCCTCCTCCAGATATTGGAGCCTCACTTGGTTATCTCAGGCTGTAGCTTTTTTTCCCCCACCTACATAATTATTTTTTTTTGGTAGCGCCTTGACAAATATTTTCTGCCTTTGTTAAGGGTTAGGAGTTGAGCTGTGCCTGTTCTCTCTGCCTCTTTTCACTTCTTGTATTACAGTTACATGGCTGTGTGACGTTCCTGGCTACACGAACAGGGGGAGAAAACAACTGAGTGAGAGAGCCGCCTTGCCAGAGCTAAAACTCCTCCCCTTCTCTGCCTCGCCGCCACCGCCTCCCTCTTCACACAGCAACAAGCTGTTGCCGCTGGGGGGGGGGGGGGATGAGAGCTTTGGCTTTCTTCTCTCACAGGTACAATCCCTCTCCCCTTCCTTCCAGACATCCACAGTGCCCTTGGCAGCAACAAAGCCAATTCAAAAGCTCTCTTTAGTAACTGCAATTTCACTGATCCTTCTTTGGCTTCTTCTGGGATAACTGCACTCCTGGCAGACAATAAAACCTGAAAGTGCCACAATGGGTATTACAATGCCATTGTTGGTGCCACGTTATAATGGCGCTCCCAAACAGCATTATATTTTAACAATGGCAATGGAAGCGGCACATCATCCAATCATGTCTCAGCTATTGCCTCTGTGCTTGCCAATGCTAGCGCCCACAATGATGTGTAAATACATTTTCACACATGGCATTAAGCCAGTAATCCTATGCAAAGTTATCTGAAAGTTTCATTTAATGCCCTCCCTGAGAAGAGCTCCTGCTTCAACCTGTTCTGAAGAGAACTAAGGTTCTGCTGTTCCAATGGACTTGGGTCAGATTGTTTCAGTGAACTGAATCCCCACAACAGGATTCCACATATTAACACTACCGGTATACATATATAGGTAGTGGTTGATAGTTTTAATTGCTGCCAGTCCAAGTTTGGAAAGATGCCTTGAGCCGCCACAGTCAGTGGGAAAGGCAGGATATAATTGTTTTATTAAATAATTAATAATACACCTCTGACATTTTTGCACAAGAAAGCTAGGAGGCACAAAGACATGTTAACGGTGAATCCACATTGTAGCCAAAACATGAGCAATGCCAACAGCATTAATGTGACCCCCCCCATCCTATGTTTATTCACAAATTAAGGCCATCTGATTACAATGGGGTTTCCTTACCAAGTGAACAGGGCTGCAGCTTTAATCTTATTTCCAATGCAATACTGAGCTGTTGGGAGTCATATTTATTCATTATATTTATTAAAATACTGATATCCTGTCTTTCCTTGTGGTTCAAGGCAGCTTACAATAATAGTTAAAAATATTTTATGTGAGAACCAAAATTTATTTAATTCCACTTATGAAATGAAATAGCAACCCCCCCAAACCTTTCTCCACTCTCCCCTCCTTTAAAAAATGCCTGCCATTCAAACTCCCTCAAAACCCCTAGCAATATAAATCTACCCTAACAATGCTCCTGATCATCACATGGCACAAGGGTTACCATAATCCATTTGTGATAGTAACAGTGACCCTAATACTACAATGCCAAAAAAAAAAAACCTGGGTCCAGCCTTGTGCCAATAAAACAAAGAGAGGGAGTGACGGTGAAGTCCAGTGCTGTGATTACTATGTTCAGTGACTCTGTCTGCCTATCTCAACAAGCTTCCGAAATATTCATAGAATCTACCATCAGTCCTAAATTGGGATGGACAAAAGGAACAGAAGGAAATGGGCACTACACAATCCCTAAGCTGTGAAATAGCAAAATATTCCTAGTGGTAATGTTCTGTTCTTCTTAAGTTTAAAGTTATGCTGGATTTTTAAAAAAAAAAAAAAATTAAACACATGGCTGCCAAGTGAGTTAATGAAAAACTCTTTGGTAGTTAACTCACTTAGCACGGCAGCTATGAAATGAAGTTGATGGCACAAGGCCAAGGCACAATTGACTCTCTTTGACCATACTTGTGTTTTCCTCAGAAAAGGAATAGTTCTGGCCATCTCCAGAGCAAAGTGGGCATTGGGCCTTCAGCACAAAAGATTGCATTTAGTCCTTCCACTGTCAGTCCCACCCGTCTACCCAGATACACATCTCGAAATCAACAATATATTCTTGGCAACACGAAAATATCAGTGGCTCCCATCAATATACTAAGGCAGTCTGTTCCAGATACAAACTAAGGATCAATTTAAATATTGATATTAGGGCGGGGGGGGCAATTTACTAAAACAGGATAGGGGCTCACGATAGGCACAACCCATGACAGCAGCTCATCCACTGAATGGTCTTATTGTCGGATGTAGAGATGGCCACTATTCACGACATTCATGGAGTATGTTGGTCAACAGTTCTTCTGTTGTGCCAGGGCAGTTAGATTTTACCTGTTAATGTTTTTGCTAAAATGCATGTTTATATTATTTTTAAAAAAAAAATAGTACTCTTAACGTCATTTTTGTGAATTATTTTGAACATTTCAATCCAGCAACATTCAAGTGGCTGTTAATTGCCTTACTCCATAGAACATAAAGTCACACTTCTTTTTCTGCTTCACAGTCTTTTAAAACCCCACAAAGATTCAGTACTTCACAATCTACTACATTACAGATTCATTATGATTCTGGAGGCACTTTTAAAATCCCAACAGTTTAAGAGGTATAACTAATCGCACTCTTGGAATAAAAATAGGTGTACTTCTTTGGACGCATGCCACCTTTCTTTCTCTCTGATAAGCAGGCCTGCTACACTGCTAAAATATATGCATACATCATTTTATATATCTAGGGTTTTTTTAAGCAGGTCTCAACTTGATGCTTACAATTATGATAGCTCTAGTCATCATTGAAACAGAAGTGCCAAAATGTGATTTGGGTTCACAGCAGACTTTTTCGGGAAGGGGAGCAGGTTATTTACCTTTTAAGCTATTGACTAGCAAAGATAAATGCCTGCAGAAAAGCTCTCCCCATGCTGTAATGTGGGCTTAGAATACAAGCGCAGCAAGCTGTAAGAGCAGGAGATTGGAGGATGGTGCTGCCAATCTTTTCTAGAGGGCAGTGACAGGCAAAACAAGGCTACTTTGCATCAGTGTTTCCCATTCTTCCTTGCAACTGACCAAAAAAAAAAAAAAAAGGAGCCCAGAGCTCTGGAAACAAACACCTATTTCCATGGAAGGAGTTGGTCTTCTTAACCAATAGCACTGCAGATGGAAAATATTAATGCATTGCTGCAGTGGGAAAAGGAAAAGTGGCACACACACCATTAGCTGTGACTCTGAGGAGGGGCAGAAGAGGCTGAAGAAGGTTAGGTGAGAGGAGGAGCAGTTGTATTGCTCCCTCCAAAGGGGCTTTGACCTTACACTGATCTCAAGTCTCTGAATTCAGACTTCTCAATAGCAAATCAGTTGCATTATAGCACACGTGCACACACACACACACTATCTAATTTATGAACTCATTAGTCTAATTTCATTATTTAATCATGTGCCTAGCAATCGTGTTTCCTTAAGAAAGGACTGACCTATTTTTGGCTGGAGATAAACGATCATGTTAACAGATGTTAATCTTGTAATCTGTTTTCCTGTAAGCACTTCACATACCCACATTTTAGACACTAATAACACACACACATATACACACACATACAAAGGGAGCCTTCCCAAACCAAATTGATGTCACTAGTCAATACTTGGGGGAGGGGTCTTAAAGGGGGGGGGGGTAAATCCACCCAATGGTTTCAAAGACATTAAATCTTTTCCCACTTTATAAATGCTGATTTGTTCTGCCTCAACTCCCACAGGCTTTTATTTGCATTTCAAATTCCACAGGTTACACCATTTGACTTTTTTTTTTTAAGTAAACCAACAATAAGGGATAAAATGTCGATTGGGGCAGAGGATACATCTGGATCAGATAAAAACCCAGCTTTTTATATATTTTCAGAAGAGGGGGGGGGGTTGTGATCTTCATAAATCTAGATTCCGAATGGTCTCTAAAAAACAACAACACCCTGCCTCATGGAATGACTAAGATATGGAAGGACACACACAATGAACATCCCCTTGAACATACTTGTCTACTGCTGGAGTTTATAAACCCTCCCAAGCGTTAACGTGTCTCGAGCAAGACGCTCGCTGGAAGAGAGGGGGGGGGGTTTCTAGAGCATTTGGCCAAGGAGGTCAGCCGATATTTGGAGCAATAATAAAAAATGCAACGTCTTCCTCCCACCTTGCACAGCCCGTGTGAGATATTCCTCCGCCTGGGCTCTCTTACCAGCAACTTTCATCCCTCTGTCTCAAAAGTTTCTTAAACTTGTCGAAACAGCTTGATTCAAATGACGGTTGCAAGTATTTGGTATGCTAATTGTGGGTGGAGATGGGAGGGGGCAGAGCAGGAGAAAGGGTTTCATAGGACAAAATGTCTGCATTATTTCTCTCCTTCCCCCCCCCCCTAGCCCTCCCTCCCCCTCTCTCAATATATACATTCAACACACCCATCAAATGGACAGTGCTGCTCATCCAGGGTTCCTGCCCTCCAAGGTAGGATCACGGTCGAAGCATTTCAACTTTCTTCGAGAAACGGTGCCCTTAAATTTTGCTGATGCTGGGATGGCCAAAAGGGGTGGGGGGGGGAGAGGAAACACACGCACGCTAATCATTCCAAGCCCCCGCCGAATCGATACAATCTGCAAAGGACGCTTAATAATTTAAGTGGCCACTCCAAGCTGGGGAAAGCCTGCAAGCCCCCCGACCTTCATCAGCCTGAAAAGCATTTCATTTCCAAGACCTGCAATTTGCTCTTTGTTTCTTAATGGATGGATATTACATTCGGGATCCACACGTCCGACCCAGCCCCCAAGCATCGCCTCTGACGAAGTGTACAAAGCGAAAAGGTTCACATCGCCCAGAAAGCCATCTAACAGCAACCCCTTCCCCCCCCCCCGGGAAAAAATCCCTTCCCCATCCTTCCAACGGCCCCAAGTTACCGTTTCTACAAAAGTCTCTCCAATTACTGACCGAGATTAACTATTAATTGGAACCGAGAAGTTTTTCCCACGGGCGTATTAACAATATTGTCAACTCCAAGCACCCC